AAAACAAAAATCATAACGACCGTTATTTTATTGGGGAAAGATACATGGATTAAATAAACGTTACTCCTCTACGATTGGGGTAGAAATGTGGACTGTACAATACTCCTTTTGTGCACAGAGGTTTGGCTCGAATTCATGAATGACTAAGGCCTTAGCTGTCTTTAGAAATTAAGAACGAATTAAACATGGAAAATTAGCATGAATTTGATAGCTGATCTTAAAATCCTGATAGGAGTTGGATAAATGACAGCAGCTGATCAGTTGTTCTGGAATAAAACTCCTTTCACTCTTCCTTTTCCCTTTATAAAACCATGCAGGAATGTACTGTCGTATTACTGTGGACGGCCATATCTGGGTTGGACTGAGGCTTTTTCTCCATCGACTTTAAAGTGTTCTTGAAGACGAATATCGTGAGAAAGACAGGAAAACTGGTCGAATCAAGCCACTTATTAAGTGGGGTAATGACCAAATTTATTCCGTTATGATCTGAACGCAAGAAACAGATCTCTGCGTTCTAATGTATAGCCGAAAAACCTCTCTGAGACACGCGCTATCATGAAACATTTCAAACACAAGGAGAAGACGATAATTCTCCAATATTTTAGCGGTTCTATTGAACAGCAATAGAAATAAATTGCAAACTCAAATTTACCTCAACAGTGCCGTCAGGTAGACAGCTAGCTATACAGACAGTGTAGGTTTCTAAATACACAACAAGTATTGTACGCAAAATAAGTTAACCAAAGTCCATCTGAACAAAGTACCTGAGAATCGGGAATGCAAATGTTCCCAACAGGATGGGGTGAAAAGCTATGTTCGCAAGAATCACACACCAAGGCTTCCCACAGACAGTTAGTCCTGGAGTAAGAATGACCTTCACTCACTCAAATAACTTTATATTGTTAAACAAAACATTGTCAATATACATACAACCACAAAGGGGCATATTACAATTACAGATTTAGTAAGGTGGGAGGCCAGTAATAAAGGTCGAAAATGATCATGTGCTATGCAAATGTCAAATTAATGATATACAATCTAGCTAGGGGGATGGCGTATAATAATCACAAAGTTAATTGAAACATCTAAATAAGCAAAAATATTATAAATAGATCGTCGAGGAGGAATTTCCCAATCAATCTGTTTATTTCAAGTGCATACTGTTGCTCTGAACATTCACCAAACTTCCGTTGAGATCAGTTTGATTGACTGACGCATCAGAAATTAAGAAAATATTTCCCCATAGAATGAATCCTTTATATTCAGTTTTTGTAGAAGAAGATGCACTCACAACTATGTGGCCATGAAAAAAAAGTATTTGATTAACTGTGTTTTTTTAAAGCGTATTAGTTCTAAAGGTGAAAATACAAAGACTAGACAATTTTTTTTTACCAATGAAGCTGTAAGAGAGAAATATGCTTATTCATCAAGCTGACTTTGTTTTTACAAGATATTTCCTAAAAGTGGAGTGAACGTGATTATTTAGACTCGCCTAACTCTACATATACTGACAGGAAATTCACTTCATGGGTGTAAAACAGTTCACTTCATTTATAACCATTCTCTTTTGTAAAATATGTGAAAATGTTTACCTTTTAGACAATTTTTTGCAGTTTATAATATGTGTGTTCCTATATCTTAGGAAATAACAAGGCATGCGAAGGTTAAAAAGAAGTATTCTTTATTTCAACTTGGACCAGGGATTGATATCAGTTAGAGAAACATTGTAAACCAGTACTAGGGTACCGGAAGTTCACATCCACCACGAGGGTTCAAACCCAAGACTTTCCAGTTGGAAGGAAAGCTCGTAGATCACTCAGCCAGTGGGACCGAACTCAATGGCCAGCTCATGAATCACAAACTTCTAGCAGTGTGTGCTTTTAGGGCTACTGGCAAAACCACCCAGTGTCATCCATGGTGAGTATTTGTGCTCACTACAGACGGGGTGAGCTCCACTGGCAATGACTTTCCACTTGGACGCCTACAGTCAACTTCGTCCTGTGGCCAGTCTCAAAGAAGTATCGCTGTCGAACCTGAAGCAGATCAAATTCCTGTTAACTAACTCTTGAAATTTATTGCGATGCTCACTTGTGACCGCCTGCAGGACGTAGTTGACTGTTAGAGTTCTAGTGAGAAGTCATGACCAGTGGGGCTGACGCCGTCAGCAGTGTGCACAAATACTCACCACGGGTGACACTAGCTGGTGTCACCAGTCTCCGTATATATCACGAAATATTGGAAGTTCGAAATCATGGTCTGACCACTGAGTTCGATCTCACTGTTTGAACGGTCTGCAAGCCTGACTTGTGATTGGGTGCGTAGTTCCGATGAGTCGAAAACTATAACGATACGCTTATCCAGTACACCCTGGTTTGGTTTTCAATGCTTCTCTAACTGATATCAACCTGCTGTAGAACTTGAAACAAATCAAACCCATCTCTTGAAAAAATATGCTTTATTTGAAACATGATTCTCATTTATCATGGTGTGGTATTACTGATGACTACTTCAAAAGCTTAGTAGGTGAATAGCTGTCAAGTGATCTTCTGTCAAAATGTTTACATAGCATCATTTTACACTTTGTCTCAGCTTCTTGCTAATAAACAAACAAACTTAATTCGTTCAAAGATTGAGCAATGCTTTGAAGATGTGTAGCTCAAGTCAAGAAAATCTGTAGAATCAACCAGTCACGGTCAAGTTTACCAGGAGTGATGGCTAAGAGAGAGAGAGAGACTTCTAAAGGCTCAATTCCTAATGAAGTCTACGTTAAATATTTTGGTTAGAAAGACAGTGACAGTTTCGCAGCATAGAGAATACGACTCCACCAATGCTTATGGTGACAAGTGATATTTTTTCTGAAATGGCAATGTAGTTGACTATCTAGTGTGATTTATAATATCAGTTTTTGAAGGTTCTAATGGCGAAAAAGAGGCTAGACGATAGAAATACGCCCAATAGTATTAATTGACTGGGGATCTAATGTCATCATTGCTGTTCAGACGTTAACTCCATCTAAATAACTACATGTGACAGTTTTCTTTAATAACGCCACTGCTTTCTGGTGTCACCGTTGAATGTCCATTCGCATAGACAACTAGCACACATCAGTAAAAAGTTTGAGCATTGTGGATTAGATCAAATCAAGTATAATTATATTTTAATAGTTTACACACAATGATAAGTTTTGCTATTGGTAATATTTCGAGCAAAATTACTGTCCGTGTTCACACACCCCTTGTCGGAATTGTTTTAGAACAAGACATATAAGCGAACAATATTGTTTTCAATTAGATCTTCTTCAGGCTTTACTCTAATTTACATAGACTTATATATATAAAATTTTAACCAATGACGGTGATTTAGTGGATCAAATAATAATAGTAATCATAATAATAAAAATAATAATAGTAATAATATTGTGGTAAATGTTTTGAACGAAGTTAATAACGATGATTATAATAATAACAAAATATTGTTAATAAGGCTTATATAGGTGATAAGAATAACAAAGTTAGTATATGCATATATGTAGACAATTCAATAAATAAATAAATTAGGTCAAATCAAATGGAACGATAATCAGAGTTTAAATAAATATCATAAAAGTACGAAGGAGAGGGATGATAAGAAAGGGTGGGAGGGTTTTGAATAGAATTCACCTAGGCCAAGGGAGAGACAAAGGTAGAACAAATTTCTTTTGTATACAAAGACTAGGATTGTTCTCTCGAATTCCCATAGCTTCGGCTAAGTGTAAAAGTCGGGTTCTGATTCCGTTCGAAAGGCTTGATGGAATGCGGTAAATAACTTTGAAAGCACTATTTTTGTCCACTTGGTGACCACTATCAATCAAATGAGCCAAAATAGAACTTCGTATGGACTTTATTTGACCTTTTCCGAACCATGAAGGAAGATGCTCATTAATGCGTTTGTTAAGCTGTCTAGTTGTTCGGCCTATATAGCTTTCTCCACAGGAGCAACTAAATTTATAGATACACATGGAAGTGGCACAACTAGGTAACTTATCTTTCACTTGAGCAATCAAAATTGGCCGGCTGGAAAATGACAAACAGAGGGTGGCGGCAGTATAAGTCCGTTTTATCGCTCTCGATAATCTCTGATGTAAGACTTCACTAGCCACGTCCCCATTAAATTGCAGTTTGATGAACAGTTGTTTCTTTTTAACTGTTATCGGTTTCTCTTTATTGTACTTAGCATTCATGTGTCTCCTGACAAATCTACTAGGATAACCCATTTGGACTAACGTATTTTGGATGTATCCTAGCTCATTCTCTAGAGAGTCATCTGTACAGATGCGTCTTGCTCTATTCGTCAGGCATCTGACCAAATTGATTTTGTAACGGATTGGTACATAACTGAGGAAATGTGTATATTGTCCTACAGATGTAGGTTTTCTATAGACATCTCTCTTTAGTGAACCATCCTCTCTTCTGCTCAATTGGACGTCAAGAAAATGTAGTCCACCATCATATTCTTCTTCACAAGTGAAGATAAGCGATGGATGTGCATCGTTAAACTTTTTTAACATGTATGTGAATGTTTTATTCACACATTTATGATTTGTACTCATATTTATAGTTCATTATTATTATTATTTTGCTCATTCATGTTTTGTGTGTGCATATGTGTGTTCAGAATTATACTCCACATATATATGCACGCACAAAACATGAATGAGCAAAATAATAATAATAATGAACTATATATATGAGTACAAATCATAAATGTGTGAATAAAACAATTCCGACAAGGGGTGTGTGAACACGAACAGTAATTTTGCTCGAAATATTACCAATAACAAAACTTATCATTGTGTGTAAACTATTAAAATATAATTATGCTTTATTTGAACTGGCACACAAACTCAACACCGAAGTATATGAATTAAATCTACGTAAAATTTTGAATTTTCTGGCTTTTGTTCAATAAACATCTGCATTTCTGTACCTTTAACAAAATTTCTCAATTCCTTTTTCTTTCAGTATGCACTACGAAGTGAAATCCGAAGAAGAACGTAAAAGTAAGTGACATTTTCAAAATGAATACGTATAATTTCTTGGATATACATTATTATTTCCATTGTCAGTGTCTTAATTTACCAGTTGCCATGTTCTCTTGAGACATATGACTTCTGATACGCAATATTTAAACGATAGACTTCTTAGTTATTACGATGAGTAGCTTCGGAAACTACGTATGCCCATGTTTCTTAAGGCAAGACAGCACACGCTTTTCCGCACTGTTAACCCTTAGATCAATGCAAGAAATGGAACAACATTATGCTCCTGTCTATTCCAAGCAAAATACTAAGCCGCATCATCCTGGAGAGAATCAAACACGCCAACCTGGATGAAAAACTTCGACCGAAACAGGCTGGATTCAGGAGAAACAAGTCATGTATTAATCAAATCGCAACATTACGTATCAGCATTGAACAGAGCTTGGAATGGCAGTCAGTCTGCTCTCTATCTCAACTTCATTGACTTTGAAAAGGGCTTCGACAGCGTCGATAGAATGGTGATTTGGCAACTACTTCGCTACTACGGGGTGCCGCCGATAATTATACATCTCATCCAACAGTTAGTTGTACGACAATGCTGCATGCCTCCAAGTAATCCACAAAGGGAAACTTGCAGAATCCTTCGAAGTGAAGACGGGAGTAAGACAAGCTGGCTGCCTACTATAGCAAGTAGATTGGATAATATCACAGAAAGCGGCGGGTAACAAGAAAACCAGCATAAAATGAACCCACACAAAGAAACCTGGAGGATCTGCACTTCACCAATGATATATGTCTGATTTCCGATAAACTTGAAGATATGCAAGTGGAAAGCAAGAAGTTGGCAGAAGAAGCATCCTAAGAAGATAGGATTTCAGGTGAACACAGAGAAAACAGACGTAGGGAATGAAGACTCCTGGACAACAACAACAGACAACAATCAACATAAATGGGAGCAGTCTGAAAGAGACAAACTTCCTTTACCCATCTACATGGGAAGCATAGTTCCGAACAGACCACAGACCTTCATTGACAGCTATCTTCGCTCAATACTTCCCTCAAGATCAGATGGCCTGTAAAGATCAGCAACAGGGTGGGATCTCTGGTAGGGAACCAACACAGCAGGAATCATATGTGCAACAAATATGCAAAAATGAAATAGATGTGGATTGCGCATACTCCGAGAATACAAACCCTCAAGTGACATCACACGATAGACCGTTGCTCGAATGAAACCCGAATAGGAAGTGGCTAGTTAGTTGGTCTTCAGTGCGAGGGTGTCATGGAGGAGAGGAGGTCATATGAGAAGGAGATGAAAGCATGTGGGCAGATATAGAGCAAGGTGAAAACGTTGTCAGAGAACCGAACGCAATGAAGACGTATGGCTGAAGCCCTATGTTCCTCTAGGGACTAAAGGAAAACAATAATAATAATAACAACCCTCATTGTGATGTAATTCTCTATTGCAAAGTGAAAGTACTTTTCTCTGTCTTAGACATGAGAATTTCAAGCCACAATAGAAATATCCCTCTCGTTTTAGAATTACAAAAGTCAGACTATGCATAAGTACATGCGTCGTAATTTTCTCTACATTTTCAGTTGAAAAGACTTAAAACAATGAAGACGAAGATATTTTCAGAGAATAAATCTTAGACAAATGTTATTTGCCAGCTTATTTTGCATAGATATGCAAAATACTTCCACCCCTACCCACCCACCCACCCCACCGTGCCATTCCACTTCATAATGGGTGATAAACATTAGAGATTCAATTACACTCATAAATATTTATTATCACCTTTGGGTATGCATATATATTTCGAGATAAAAATATTCTCCAGTCATTCTTATGCTAATGTATGCCTTTAGTATTATTCAAACGAGAGAGAAATTAGTTAGAATTTTTTGTGATCACAGTTATGCATATGGGTTTTCTGTAATTCTAGGTGATTCATTTACCTCGTAGAGTGAGTAAAATTAGTTTTTTTCTTACCTATGCTGATAAATATTTTTTTAAAAAAAAACACATCGAGCGAAAACCCTCATCACATTTATTCACACATGAACAAGCGCTAATCTCGACTATTAATATATCCATGACTTCAATATTCTCTGTTAGAGTTACGCTTAAAACATCAAGTTTCAAGCTTACAGTAGCAGGGATGTTGGTTTTTTACGGCGTAAGGTTGCTGGCCTCACACCCAAACTTCTGTCTTTTCCAGGCTTAGTAACAACCAGCAAAACTAGACAAGGTTTCAGAGCAAGTCGGCTGGAAATTGAATCGCGGATCAGTTGTTTATTTTGGTGAGTATTCAACCAGCAGTACTTACCTGCCACTAGGGCTCGAATCCGGGACATTCCAGTTATATGGCGAGCTCGTAGACGCTCAAGCCACTGGAACCTGACTCAATGGGCAGCCCGTAAATTCCAACTTCTGCCAAATACTCGCCGATGACACTGACTAGTGCTTGTGCCATATAGGGAGTGAGTTGAAACCCTGGTGGAGGATGCGTACTGGTGAAGAGTCTCCGACTAGGCTGACGAAACAGTTGTCCAGTACTCCCAGTTTTTTCAATGGTTCTCCAACCGATGTCAGCTCATGATGAATTCCTGAAACCAGTCAAATCCCTGAAAACCAACACTTGGATTTCAAAACATCATTTAATCAGTTAATCGGATTATTGTTATTGTTTCCTTTAATTCCTAGAGGAAATTAGGGCTTCAGCTGCACGTCTCCATTGCGTTCGGTTCTCTGCCAGAGTTTTCACCTGGTTCCAAGTCTGCCCACATGCTTTCATCTCCTTCTCAAATGACTTCCTTCATGTCGCCCTTGCACTGGCTACCAACTAACTAGTCACTTTCCATTCCAGTTCCACTCGAGAGAAAGAGAGAGAGCTGGGCGTGTGATATCCCTCACTTGATGGTTTGTTTTCTCAAAGTATGACAAGTCCACCTCCATTTCTTCCTGTATATTTGTTGGACGATTGGTTCCTGCTGTGTTGGTTCGATCCCAGAGATCCATGCTGCTGATCTTTTCTAACCATCTGATCTTGAGTATTGCACAAAAACACTTGTTGACGAAGGTGTGTAATTTGTTCGAAGTGCCTTTCGTGACGCTCTGGCCAAGTCTGTGATCTGTGTAGTAGCATTGACTTCACGTTGGAGTTGAAAATCCGGATCCTATTTTTCATTCTGAGTGCTGTTCATCTCCACACAGACTTGAGAGCAATGAAAGGTTGCCTTTTTTCCCGATCCTCTCATTGATATCCTCATCAATTCTGTCTGCCTGCAGATGAAACGATGCTTCCCAGGTCGGTAGGTGGGTAAAGGAGGTTGCTTCTTTCAAATTTCTCCCATTTATCCTGATTGCTGTCTGTCGTTGTTGCTGTTAGCCAGGAATCTCCACCAACTCTGTTTTCTCTATGTTCACCTGAAGTCCTATCTTCTCCGGATGCTTCTCCTACCAACTTGTTATTTTCCACTTCCATATCTTCCAATTTGTCGGAAATCAGACATATATAATCGGCGAAGTCCAGATCGGATTATGCTAAAACATAAATCTAATATCTTTCAGAAAGCCATCTGAAGTAGCATATTTTCCACAAATAATCAGAACCGGAAAACAAACGAATGTAAGTGATTACATTTGGTGCTTGTTGACAAGAAAAAATGTTCATCTTTGAATTCAAGCACGCCAATTTCGAAATAATATGATCATAAAGCTTAAAATTCATGCAGTCTGTAGATCAATCTAGAAATGTAACAAACCATTGATGATATTTCTGTTCTGTCACATTCATTCTTAAAATGCTCCTACGTTTCTATTATTTTGATACTCCATGAAAAGTATTTCCAACAGGTTGAAGACTTTTATTAACGTCTGCTTTTTATGGCTGCATACTGAATATCAAATGGCCAGAGACAGTTTAGAAAAAGAAACTCTTGGAGCGGACATATCAAAAACCTGTCGCTCAACAAACATGGAGAAGAAACTGGAAATGGATTCGACGTACACTGAGGAGACTTTCGGGTGACATTACGCCCCGGGCCACCAACTGGAATCGGAATGGGAGACGACTAGTTGGGTGTGTGTCCAAGAGTCATGTGAAGATAATCATGTGAAGACTTACAGATGAGAGCCATTTGTAAACGACTATAGAGAAGATAGTGCATTAGAGACCTTCTGTTAAAGCCCTAATGTCCCATTCAGAGCCCTAAGGGATTTGTTATGATCACAACAATTCACCTTTCTGAGAAATCAAATCCTGAAAAGCCGTTCAAACCGTCTGTATTTGAAATGCCAAGTGCATTTCACACAACATGTTACAAAAAGTGTTAACCGCGTTGTATTTGCTTACAAACTGCATCCTAACTCAGTTTAGAAAAGATTCAATGAAAGATAAATGTATCAGTCCTTTTTATCAGGCATACAACTGCATAATCGCAATAGTATTTGAAAATTGTATAATTTTCAGTTGAATGTCTGCCTCATTGACTGAATGAATAAAACAACTGTACTGCTAGTTGAGACACGTACCGTGATCTGTATAACTTCAGATTCCAAAGGAAACTCTGATAAAATTTCACCTAGAACTTTGTATATTACGAATCACGAATCAAATGGTTTGAACTGACTCAGCTGTCTGAGCCCACCCGTAAGTGGGTGAAGCCACCATCCGATATTTAGACCATCTGAATATGGAGGAACTCTGTCGAAGTAGCTTAAATCCTAGATTATTTAAATGAGACAATTACAGATTGTCTCAATACAATCAAACTAGCTAGTAGTAGGTCCTGTTTTGATTACTATACAACCAGTAGCTTAGTGACCGGAGTTGATTAAATCTACATTATTGACTTAAGTTATAACATATATCAGTAATGAATGCAAACATTAAAAACACACTCATTCTGGGTGGTCTTCATTATATACCCGATATAAAAATGTGTTATTAGCGCATAAGACTTTATTTCCAAATTGTAAACAATATCGCTATTCGGAAAAAAGGTGTTACCTACATCTTATTATTTCTAAAAAGTACACATTACCAGACCGTTTTAACTTTCCCGGTTATCTGGTAACTTAACAACTTAAAGGACAGCTGAATTGGTCAGCATTAGTGCAGTATATGATTAATGTGAATAGTACCAAATTTTATTGATTAGTATGTTTAGAAATAATCGCAAGATAATTCTGGCATTAATTAGCAGGGGAAGTTGTGAATTGTTCAACGATGTCAAATTGACAGTGAATTTACGTAAGGGTTAGGTATTGAATAGAAAAGTGGTCAGTTGTATAACAAAATTAAAATGAAATATATTCATCATGGTATGGAAAGACAGAGAACAGTTACTTCTTGAACCCCTCAAAGTCGGTTTGAATCGTTACCGCTGTTACCGCTTCAGCTATTATGCACTAAACTGTGGAACTAAACTAAAAATTAATTATCCTGAGTGAAATTAAGATATTAATTTCACAACCACTATATATCATGCGGTAAGTGGTCCTACTGTTGAAGGTATTCCTAGCTTTCAGAAGCAAATTTCTGTGAATATGCTTTCTTATGCAAATTGTATGCTGACAGATGTAGCTGGAGGTAACATGAAAAGGAAATTCCATATACCTTGAATTGTTCCATCTCTGCAAAGAGTGGCTAAGTGAGTACCAGTGTTAGTCCTCTTCATGCAATAATAAATCTCTTTTCGGTGATATCATTCTCAAGCTGTACAAATCACAAATTTATAGTAATTTGTCTTGGCAACAAAAGGAATATTTCCAAAGATGTGTTAATGCAATTGTTAACTTTTTGACAAACAAATTATGTAATTTTGAAGGCTTTAATCGGTTAGAAACTAAAATAAAGTTACAAAAGTAGGTTGGATGACGTAATCTAATTGATAGGGTTCAATGAAAAAATGAATGAGAGTCAAGTTAATAATCTGAGTAGAATTCACTTGAAAATGAATGAGAGTTAAGTTAATAAGCTGAGTAGAATTCATATACAATTGGTGGATGGTGGCTAGCAGTGGAATCCAGCTGGATTCCACTGCTAGCCACCATCCACCAATTGTATACAAATCAAATCCCCAGACATCGTCGAAGCATCTGCACAAGAAGCCGACATGTCAACCTGAGACCGAACACTTCGGTCCAATCAATCGACGGGAAAATCAAAAATTCAATTCAATGAGTAGAATTCACTTAAAAATAAACGAAAATCGAGTTAGCAACAGTCGTCATGAGCGTAGAGATTTAATAGTGGGTGGGTGTAGAAAATAATGCAATTAAGAAATAGACAAACAAAGAAGAAAGAGGTAAGACAAAATTACATATTTGGTGTTAAAATAGATCAGGACCATCGTAGATTTAGTCACTGAACAAACTTCTTTTGCATGCAGAGTTCAGGATTCAATATGTGAATTGCCATTGCTTCTGCAGTTTGAAGAAGTTTAATTCGTACTCTTTTGGCAAGATTCCCACGTATTGTGTAGATAACTGTGAAGTTGTTTTGTGGGTTTGCTTGGTGTCCGGATTCGATCAAGTGTTCTAGGATAGAGCTGTGGCACGGGGGGGATCTTCTTTCTCCTTTATAAAACCATGACGGATGGGAATTTTCAGGTTAATAATAAATCTGACAATAACTTTTCTTCCCTTTCATTGCATCATTTAATTACATAACATTAATCGCCTTTACGTGCGTCGGTGGCACAGTGGTAGAATGCTCGCCGACCATGCAGGTGGTTCGGGGTTCGATCCCCGGCCACTGACGAACTCCTTCACCTCACCAAACCACTGATAAGGCTGGTAAGGAGGGAAGGTTGGTCATGAGGCTGGCAACCCCATCTCGTAAAAATAACAACCACTGTTAATGAAACTTAAAGCCTCTAGCTTGAAGCCCTATGTCTCAGTAGGAACGTAAAGAAAAAAAAATTGGCCTTTGCCTCCATGCTTCCTAACTAAAGTAATGTGAATACTTCTTAATGCATGGATATTAAAATTGTTTAAGCAGTAGAGAGAGAGAGAGAAACCTAGGAGATAAAACGATATTATGTTATTCTGTTTAGTTTGTTATTCAAGTTTGTTATTGTTCAAGTTCATCAAGAGGAAAAATTGTACCATCTTTGTACGGAACAGTTCAGTCACTTTTGTCTTTCACAAAAAACAGCAAGGTAAATGGATAGATCTATCGTTTACATTCAAATCACAAGCAGAGAGACTAAGGCTCAAAATATAAGCTCTGTTGACTACAGCGTTGATTGACAGGTATTAATTTAAGCTCATATTCACTGAACTAATGAAGGTCTGTATAAATGTCTACTAGAAGATCAACAAACTAGCTGAAAAGGCTGCTCCATGCAATTATAGAGAAGATGTAGGTTATGAAGATAAGCAATCAACAGTAACAACAACCAGCATCAATCATTATTAACTGGAGAAACTTGAAAGAGGTGACATCCTTCACTTATCGATTCAACCACAGGCGGAACTGACGAGGATGTCAAAGCCAACCAGAATCAGAAAGGCAAGATACACCTGAATCAATCTGAAATCGGGGTATGGAAATCTTCTACACTCAGAGTAAAGAACAAGATTCGAACTTTCAACACCATTGTCAAACCAGTCATCGCTTCTAAATGGGTGAGAAACTTGGTCAGGGCGTCACGGAAAGCATCTTCAACAACCAGCTGTAGACTTTTAGCAACAGATGTCTTTGCTGGCCATGCTGAAGAGTTAGCAACAAGAAACTTTGACTGGGAACAAACCGACCAAGAACGTTTCGTTCAGCAAATATGTAAGAGGAAAAAGAGGTTGATCGGGTATGTACTGAAAAGGCCGTCGAATGACTTCGTGCTCAGTGAAGGCCATAGCTCGAGTGGAACCCCAGTGGGAAGTGACTAGTGGGTCGCCAATTCGAAGGTGGCATGGAGGAGATCGTGTGGTGTTGAGGAGATGAAAGATAATGGTCATTCGTGCACCCAGCTGAAGAGGACTGTAGAAAACAGAAGAAAGTGGAGATGCACTGCTGAATCCCCATGTTCTACTGGGTCCCCAAGGAAATAATTAATCATAAAGATCAGTAGGGATTCACGCATACCTACGTAGCTAAATTTTGAGCATTACCTGACGTTACATACACGAATACAAGTCAGGTACTAGTGACGAAATTACCTGAAGACAAATTTGACTTAAACTAATCAAAGCTACATATTATATTCCCAGGCAGTCTATAAGCATAAACTTCATATTCCGGTAACATTCCTTCGATAACTCTTTTAATATTTTTGCCCCAACAATATGTTTGCTGAGTATGCAAACATGCAAAATGATACACATTAGAGTTTCTACAATGTTTTCAATTTGGGTTTTGATAAACTTGTCTCACTCTTGATACGGCCATGTCATTATATTGTTGTTATTATTATTCCCTTGTGTTCCGAGTAGGATAAAGGGGCTTCGTAAGCACATTCTCACTTCACCTTGCACTCTGCAGTCTTTTACAGCTGGCTTCACGCTTTCTCGTAAGCTTTCACCTCTTCCTCGTATAATCCAGCCATTTAACCATCAGATTCACGCTCAACTCGATGGACCACCACGTAATTTCACTTAGCGGTCTGTTCAGCGTATGTCCAATCCTTCTGAAAATTATTTTATCGATAGGTTCTTGGTTGGTTTACTTCTGGAATTCCTTGTTGTTTACTCTTTCTGACCAACAATCTAACCTTCAGTATCGATCAAAGGCTTCTGCTGATAGAAGTTTGTAGTGAGCTGTTGGAAACGTTTTTTCGTGATGCACCAATCTTCTAAACCATTTAGAAGCTGTGAATTACAGGAAACTTATGCTGAAAATCGGGATTTCGTTCCTCATACTGTGTGCACCAGATTCCTACACTGACTGCAATGTCTTGCCTTTCCATCCCTGACTTCGCCCCCCTCAAAAATAGGATGTTTAAACATAAGGCTAGCGACTTCACCCAAGAAAATCAATCCTACCGCCATAGAAACGCCCAATCACATAAAAGAAATATGAAATATATATATATATTAGTTATAATTTAGCAACATTAAAAGACAGTATCGTAGTGGATACCTATCCACTTTCAAATATCCCTTCTTCGTCTTTTTTTGACAGAATTTACTTCCAATAGTTTTGCTATCCTCCAAACTTTGGAGTGTAGTAGTACGATTGTGACTTTATTTTCATCGATACTTCATGGGTTCGACTATCTTATTTGCGCCTGTTAACTGAATGAATAGCATTCATTTTGTTGTTATTGTTTTTCATTGAATCACTCAAAAGGAAAAATAATAATAATTAGAAAAATCGTTTATTTTACTTTACGAGTAGATAAACAGTAACTTTCGTCATTGCAAAGGAGTTAAGATCGAACGTCTGTGTTTCTTATCTTATGCTGTGTCAGTTATTTGCTGTCTGGTGAAGGGGATTATCCGAAAAATGAATGTGTTAATAAACGTTTATTAATTTCACAATACTGTGAGCATTTTTCTTTAAAAAATTTTGATTAACCCTGTGTTTTATTGCCTTCTTATATAGTTTAACTACTGCATTATGTTCCCACTTAACAGCTTACATTCGTCTGAGTCAAGCAATGCGGAATCTTACTCGTTCAGTCGGAGCAAAAGGAACATTTTATTGCGATATTCTCGGTGAACCGATACCTCAGTTTCAGTGGTATAAAAATGGTGAAAAATTGGTAGAAAAGCAGAATAAAATAAAGATAACTACTGCTCTGTGGGGAAGCGCGTAAGTTCCACTTCTGATAACACAACAAATGTTTATTATTTGTAGAATTATCCTATTACTTCACACACACACACAGGGTTTCGAGTTTGAGCTTTGAAATTTTGGTAGTAGTTGTGTCGTTTCTAGCCTGTGGGGGTTACTAGCCTAGCACCGAAACTTCCCTGCGTCAGTGGCGCAGCGGTTAGGACTCTCGCCGACCATGCACATGATTTGGGGTTCGACCCCCTGCCGACGCACAACTGATATCAATGGTTGGCCTGCAAAATTTGGCCTGTCGATATTACATGCTGAAAATTCCGTAGTTGTACCAAAACTACGGTGTGAAATCAAGCTATAATAAAAATAAATAAATAAAAAATTCACGATTTAGTTTGTAGGGCTTTGATCTGTTTCGAGTGGTCTAACTTGAAACAGACCAAATCTCTACAAACTAAGTCTTGGAAATTATTCTGATGCTCACTAGTAACTGGCTACAGGACGAAGTTGCCTGGAGTGAGTTCTAGTGGAAGTCGTGCATAACCAGTGGTGTCTACCAATTGGTTGGGAGTAAGCAGAAATACTCACCACGAATGAAACTGGATGGTGTCTTCAATTGAACTGTGTATCACTAACCGCTGGAACAAGGGGATTCATGAGCTGGCCATTGAGTTCGGTGCCAATGACTAAATGGTCCACGAGCTTTTCTTGCATCCGGTAGGTCTTGGGTTCGAACACTCGTAGTGGATGCGTATTTCCACTGAGTCTGAAACTATGACAAAACAGCTACCCAGCACTGCTGTACTGGTTTACAATGTTATTCTAACTGATATCGATTCATGGTCTAACTTGAGATAAGTATATAATCCATATTAATATTTCATACCATCGATTTTAACAACTCACTTTTAACTTAAAAACTCACCATTGTGTTTCTCTGCTTCTTTTTCTGAATTTGAAGTTTGCGTGTAGAGAAACTGCAGAGTTCCGACGCTGGTCAATACCTCTGTGTTGCAACTAATCCGTCGGGAACACTGAATGCAACAGCTCACCTACAGCTGACCAATAAAAGTGAGTATCACAGTTCTTTTTTTCATCACTCATTTTCCCTGGTTCCCCATTGGTAAAATCCACTTGAATATATTATAGGTCAGTGGATTAGTAAACAGTGGCTAGAATGGCTTCTTTGTACACTACTGGTTGGTTGATATGAGTAATCGGAGAGTACTAACATTAGCTATTAGTGCTTGCTTTCCAAATCAAAGTGATGAAAAAACACCGAACGGTCGTTTCGCTCGCCTGGCGTAGAGCTTATCAGTGGTGAAGCCTACGCAACTCATCTCAGTAGGTCACATCATTTCAGACCACCACGTGAATTCTGGCTACATATTTCGGAGAATAGTCGATATCATGAATCAAACTCGTAATTTTCAATTTGTACAGTTCAAATGGAATTTCATCACAGTGTGCCCCTTGGAAACTGGTGTTATTCGGACCATGGCATGCTTACAAATGTACTCCCTTTAAATCAGCTGGACAGACTATTATGGTAGTATGTTTCAGTTAGATTAAACATAAGATTTCAACATTTCTATCAAAAGCTAAGCTGGAGATCCCATTTAGAAAGAATTATGATGTATTAGTGGAATTCATTTCAAACAGTTTGATCACACATTCGCTCGCCAATCCGATTTACATGAAAGATGAAAAACTTGAAATTCAAATCAAATAAACACAATTACATTGGACCGACAATAAGATTGTGGAAAATCTGGATTTCTCAGACAATTCAAGTCTACTGTCACACACACGCACGCACACACACCAAGATCTTTAGGCAAGAACCGACATTTTGCCAGAAGAAGCAGAGGTTCCAGGATTTCAAGTGAAAAATGACAAAGCCAGGATCGAAAAAACACGACAGGCACTGACTACTCTAAAGTCAGTGTGGAAACCTACTGCAGAAAGTATAAGGAACAAGATTCAGATATTCAACAATTATTTCAAATCAGTCCTTCTATATAGTTCAGAGACTTGGCACATACCTCACCAATAGCATCTTGAATGGGTTAATGCACACTTTCTTGAACGGCTGCCTTATCTGGCTCGATTCTGAAGACGAGATTGTCGACTAGAAAGGCAAAGTAATAGAGAACTCTGGGAACGAATCAATAAACCACCCGCTAGCCAACAAATCTTCAGATGGGAGGAGAAATGGATGGGCAATACGCTGAAGACATCGATGAGGTGATACCATGCATCAGGCCATCAATCAGGCGGAACTCGATGGCCAAACGTAAAGTTGAACGTGTAGATCTAAGGACAGTATGCAGGAGACTATGTGAGGTGGAGAATGACAGATTATGGACAGTCGTGGAGCCAGGTGAAAATGGCCGCAAAAAACAGAGTGAAATAGCGATATTCTACCAAAGCGCCACGTTTGATTGTTATACTTCTTTTCCCTTTCATAAAATTTACCAGTAGGCCTAAACTCTAAGATTTCTTAACAATAATAGAATTTCAATCAAAAACAGTTGTATATCATGCCTGTGAAAAAAAATACCTCTCTTGTTATCCATCACTGAAAGTTTGTGCCTATGATTAGTCTTCAGCTATTTAAAACAGGCTAAACTGTTCCACAGAAAATCTCTGCATACCCCTATAGATTAGTCTGAATGAAATCACAAAAACTGTTGGTTTCACTAATTGGATACAAGAATTCGAATGTGGCAGACCTTAGACTTTGCAATTTCTCACCCTTGTCTTGTCTACAATTTCAACTAAGGAATTTTATTTTATTTTATTTTTCACATATTCATTTAACAAGTGTTAATCAATCACCCACAAATAGAAATTCGGAAAAAAAGGATCAAACTGTGTTATTTTGTTAGAAATAATTCGCAATTTTTGAATACGTAAATTTGCTGGAAATACGAGTGTTATTGATCAATTACAATCAGATGGGAAATAAATAAGACGAGTGTTTTTATAGTCATAATAAGTAACTTATTAGAATGTTGTGATGTGCTTGACGTGAAATAGAATTTTAAGATTATTTATTATCCTCCTCTGATTTGACTGACTGGTGGTAATAATATCTTCCATATTTCTGGTATTTGCATTGAGTCATTTCGACTGTGCATGTGTTGGGTGTAGACTCGATGAACATGGATTCAGTAATCAACCTCTCTCTCCACCTACCTAGATTACTTTTTAGAATTTTAACCCACTCCCACCCTATGTGTGGTTGTGTGTTAACTCATGCATTGCAATTGCTGAGCTTTTTTCTAAATTACTTATCCTCTCGGGGTCAACCATTCTTACCTTAGCCAAATTCTTATGTTCCGACAATCTCACTACCCCCGATTTACTAGTCTGACCAACGTTGTTGACCTCAAAGTCATTGCAGGGTATTTTGTAAATTATATTATTTTGTGTAATTGGGTCAACCAACAGGGTCCTTTAACCTACAGAGCTTGTCTCTGATGAGTTTGTAGGTTAGAATGCCACTCTAACTCCTGCTTTATTGAGAATATACTTTATTTTCTGTGGTGAAAGAGAATATTTTGCACACTATGGATTAAAATATCAGTATGATTCCTCTGGGTTACAAGTGAGACATTCGGCTTTAAGAAGATATCCCCACTTCATCCCATCCTCTGTTGTCTCCTTTAACTGGCTCCACAACTCTCCCAGACTTTCACTTCCTCTTCGCACAGCCTCCTCCATTTTACTCTCAGACCGACATCCAAATTGACGCTCCCCATTTAGGTCCTGCCTTATGGTTTGACTCGCTAATGGTGGTACTCAACGGTCTCCACAGCATGTGTTCAATCCATCTCTCTAATCCGGCATAATTGTTGGTTGACAGGTTACTGGTTGGATCTTTCCCCCAGGCCTTCATCGCTAATTCTTTCTGGCCACACATCTGACCTTCAGTAAAGAGCCGACTAAGGCGGCAGCTGTTGATGAAAGCCTACTGGAAATGCTTTTCGTGAGGCACCCATTCAAATCTCCGAATCATATAAAACCATTCATTTGACATTAGTATTGAAGTTCCAGGTTAAAAATATGTAGAGACAGGATATATTTACCTAACAGTAATAGGGCCGAAAAATAATTTTCCTCTAAATGTTGAGCACTTACAGGCTCACTTCCCATGTCTTTCATTTCAGTAAAACTAGTCACCATGACTGTCATAACTGCGTTATTATTACTTTATTGCATGATTGTTAATTCCTTCAAGTTCCCAGTGGAACAAGGGGCTTCAAGCTATGGCTTTGAAGTTTCTATAGCAGTGTTTATTTTTATAGGACGGGGATGCTAGCCTCATACCCAAACTTTTCTCTTTACCAGCTTTATTTCTGGCTAAGCGAAGTAAGGGAGTGCGTCAGTGGCCAGGGATTGAACCCCGGACCATGTACATAGTCGTTGAGTGTCCTAACCGCTGTGCCACCAATGCGCACACCACCAACTGCGTACGGTATAGTTGATTTTCATATATTTCAGTTTCCCTAAGACTTTTTCCTCTTCGTTTTCAAAACCATCGGATGCCTGATTCATTTTCTCCTTACCCAATTGAGTAGCCGAGAATCTTTTCTGATTTGTCTCTTGTGATACCCACCAAGTCGGTAACGGAAATTAAAAATCATAAGTTTGTTTTATTGGCACCAAATTGTATAACCGGTAATTTATTCATCGAACTTACGAAACTCACAAAAGACAACTGTTCTTCCCAGGTGGTACAGTGAAAAGAAGGGTTAATCTATCGGCGTAATTGTGTTCCTTTCATTGTCTTTCAGTGCAACATCTTCACGCTATTATCATTCACCTGAGCTACAATAAATCTTCTCCATCCATATTTAATGGTTGTTAATGTAGTGAGACCCCAAAAGTGGATCAATTTTCAACAGAGGACAACAGTATTAGTTTGATTGCTAGATGACATTTAGTTAGAAAACCACTAGCCAACCTGAAAAAACTGGACAACTGTTTTGACTCAGTCTGAGACTCTTCAGCAGTATCCATCCACCTGTAGGCCATTCAGCCACTGGAATTCATGAGCCGCCATTGAATGAAGTTCCAGCGGCTGAATGGCCTACAAGCTCTCCTTGTAGCCTGAAAGTCGCGGGTTTTAACCCTAGTGGGTGGATATTGCTGAAGAGTGTCAAACTATGGCGAAACAGCCGTCCGGTACTCTCAGGTTTTCTAACTGACGTCAGCTAGTGATCATGCCAATATTGTTTCTATTTAACTTCGTGGGCTTTTGCATCTACCCTTGCATTAATAAATAACTTCAACTATACACATCGATAGATTTGTTTCGGCAATCACGTTTATAACACAACTATGATGTACTCCATTCTATCTAAATATATTATACAACAAAAGGGTATCGACTAAAAACTTTAGTCTCTCTGTTTGTTTGTTTGTGTGTATGTTTCTGCAGTAATTCTTCTCTTAATCAACGTATTTCTTTGCATATAGAGTAGGAGTAATGATAGCAATTTTATATGCTGATTAGTTTGTTCTGGTTAAGCATAGATTTCCACCATCTCTCTCTCTCTCACTCTCTCTCTGTCCCTCTTTCTTGCTCTCTCTCTTATTAACAAGATTGTACCAGATAACGGAGTATGAATGCGAACCTTTGTTCATGAAATTAATAATATTAATAATGATAGTAATAATAATAATAATAATAATAATAATAATAATAGAATAAATGAGAATAGTTTTAGATGAAAGAAAGCCTAGCATAACCAAAGTAATAACTTGTTTTCAAGACCACAGAATTAACCACACAATAGTCGGTGTGTCACGCAATATATATCCATATATAACTATTATACACAAAAGATATTGTTTTACACTTTCCGGCTATGTTATCATTTTCCCCTTGCCACCACCTTATTTGTCCCTTGTTCTCTCTCTCTCTCTCTGCTTTGTGTACCATTATTATTTCTGTAACAATGTGATATTATCAGTGGCTGAATAAACATGTCTGCTGATGAAAATGAGTCATTTCCCTGATAAGTATATGTATATGTTTATATATGTAAATTCTGTTTAGCATTGTTTAATCATAATAGTGTGTGTGTTTCTCATTTATACTTTATATAATACACTCTCTAATGCCTTTAGTCTTGTTCAAGGCATTAGAAATTCTGTTTTATTCAGGAAATTAACTGATGAGATAAAGTATTACACAGGTCGATTGGTTCTGTGCAATATATATGTATCATAGAAATGATTACTGTATTAGTAAGCCCACTCTATAGCGATATTCTAATTATATTGTTGAATTGACAGTTAGTTAGTTAGGTAGGTAGATAGTTAATGTGAAAGTTTAAAAAAACATCAACATGATTTAGTTGTGTTCTCAGAGCTAGTCGATTTAATTGGGGAGCTTTCGTTGTCCTATATAAAGCCAACTTACTTGAATTCTCCATGAATGATATTCATCTGCATGTCCTGACAATCATTGTCGCGGATGGTTTGTTGATTTACGCCACTATTCATCATTTTTATTGACTTCGAATTCAACCTCTGTTGTCGTGTGGGCCTATTTTTTGCTTCATTATTTCCTAAATCTGGCGGTCTATAGTAATATGTTTGTTAATCGCTGATGTTCGTCTGAGTACCAAGCTTCTAGAAATTCCTTGACTGCATGTTTGGTGTTGTCTATATTTAAGATTTCTACATTTTCACAATCAGATTGGCGTGCATAATTATCTACATGCATTGATATGAAACAGGAATACAGATCGTGACTAACAACTCACTTACCTAACCACGTTTAACACTGCTCAAGAGGGAAAACGTGGGCTTTTCGAGTTTTCCTACGTATGTAACTGTCTCCACGAGAATCAAAGTAACCAGTCTCGGTAGTTTAATCTTCACTTGAGTTGTGTTGTGGCAAAGAATGTTTTAGCTATTATTTTTCGAAGTTTAGATGCTGGTAATTCAGCTGAAACATCCACCATTCCTATAGGCGATGCCCAAATAAATACGAGTGTTTAGTGAAAATTCAAATCTTAACAGGGAAATGCTTTTTTCGATTGACACTTATGGTTTCAAACAGATCACACATTCTGATGGTCTGGAAAATTCTGGATTCTAAGGGAATATCATGATGCAATTTCACTTCGAACTGTGTAAATCATAAAAATATTAGTTACTCTGTAGATTGCAAATTCAATAGAATGCAAACACGTGTATCAGTAAATTTATCTGAAACCGGTTTGAAAGCCATGACTCCCTAAGCACGGCTCATGAACAGAATATCTCCTACCATGATGTAGTTATCAGTAGTGCTTAAGAAATCGATTCCAAGTTCATTTAACTTACACTGCTGCTCACTGCCTAAAGAAGATGATCAATGCTTAGCAAGTATTCTTCAAAACACTGTTAGTAAACTTATTATCGAATTTTTACTTTCTTTTTTAGGTGCCAAGTCAAATACATTTGTTAAACCAGCCTTATCTGAAGATCAGTACCTGTGAGTTTATAATATTTTGTTATTTATGTAAAGTACAATTTTCGCCATCATTAATGTTTAAAAGAAACACTGCACTCTGTTACTTTGTTTAGGCTGAGCTGTCAGTCAGCTTGCAGAGTTTTGTAGCAATTAAAAATATAACATTGCGAAACATATTCAAGTATTGGTTTTTGTAGGAATTTGCTTGATTGGTTACAGGATTTCATCATGGTTAGAAAACCATCAGAAAACCGGCTGGGAGTACTGGACAGCTCATGATGAAATCCCGTAATCAATCAATCAAATGCCTACAAACCAATACTTGAATATCAATGAGATGTTCACTGGAGACTGGCCCTATTCAGGTAGGCAGTTACCTGAGTTTCTAATGGAAAGTCGTGACCTGTAGGGTGTAGCAGGTCAGGTGTGAGGATAAATACTCGCCGAAGACATTGGCCAGAGGTCGCACTATGTCGTGAATTGGCAGAAGTTAGAATTCATGAGCTGGCCATTGGATCGTGTCCCAGTGGCTTAATGGTCTACGAACTAGCTCGCCTTGTAACCAGACGATCCTGGGTTCGAACCTTGAAGATGGGTGCGTACTGATGAAGACTCCCTAACTAGGCTCAAGAAATAGCTGCCCAGTACTCCCAACTGGTTTTCCAATGGTTCTCTAACCTATGTCAGCTCATGATGTAATCCTGTAACCAATAACAATTTTATTCAGTGTCAAATTGTTATTTAATTATTTTGCCGACCAAATTGGAGAAGACGAAATCTCGGGAAAGTGGTTTCTCATCTGTTCCTATATGTTTCGTGTAGAGGTTGTGACGTAACTGCGCATAAGTAGTTTATACACATATCATGACTTTCTAATTGACCAACGGAATGCGCACTTCTGTCCTCATCATTACAGAGATCAGTTTGGATTATATTTATTTAGATAAAGCAATAAGAAGACGTAATTTGTCTGAATCGTGTAATGTATTTGCGCAACACATTTCGAACAATCTGATCACACACGGACTTGTCATAGGAATATATATATAAAAAATTAATAAAGAGGTAAGAGGTGAGAAAAATAGACTTAGGTCAAGTTAAAAGGACATATTCAAGGTCAAAAAATAAAAATGAAGACCACTAAACCAAATAGCAGAGGTAATAGTACATCTGCTATGGTATCAAAACAAAATTTACCAAGGAAGGTTTAATGTGATGACAAATTGTTTTTGAACGCATAAAGGTGGCTTGAACTTTCTAATTGCTAGGGCTTCTACAAACTTTAGGATACGCCCCAAACACGTTTTATAGATAGGTTTAAAAGATCTGTTAACATCAATTTTATGACCTGTCTCTATAATATGTTTCGCAATAGAAGAGCTAGGTCTCCTGTTCTCACCGTTAATAGGTTCTGATGATTCCATTTGTTTCTGGAGCCATTTTGGAATATGCTCTGAAGCCCTTACTTGCAGAGATCGATGAGTCCTCCCTATGTATGTGTGTCCACACGTACATTCAAATTGGTAAATACAGTGGGATGTGACGTCATTTTTCGCATGTTCGAAGGGCTTAGATAGATATAATGGCTTTACATTCTCTAATATTATGATATTAGCTGCATAAAAAGTCTTTTTAACAGCAGCGTTCAGCCTTTGTCTAGTTATCAAGCTGCTTTGATGTCCCATATAGGGTAGCTTGATGTACACGTCTTTCTTAGGGGCGAGTTGGAGAGTGGGTCTTGGTGTTCTGACTACTTTATATCTCCTGATGAACTTTTCTGGATAATTGTTATCAACCAGAGTTTGTGTCAATATTCTTTCTTCTTCATCAAGCGTGTCTTCAGTGCATATTCGTCGGATTCTACTGAAGAGGCACCTTACTAAGCCTCTTTTGTACCGAATAGGGCAGAAACTGTGGTAATTAAGATACTGTCCTGTCCAGGTAGGTTTTCTATAAATAGATCTTTTTATTGACCCATCAAGCCGTCGACTAAGCAATATGTCTAGGAAAGATAAACAATTATCTTCCTCTTCTACAGATGTAAGTGATATGCTATTCTGAACTTCATTCATTCGATTTAAAATTGAGGTGGCAGAACAAGGCTTATCACTGATGACTACGATATCATCTACATACCTTCTATAAAGTGGCACATTTTCGATTAAATCTTCCGATAAATTCTCAATGTACGACATATAAATATCTGCTAAAAGGGGCCCTAACGGACTGCCCATAGCAACACCATCAACTTGGCGGAAACAGTCGCCTTCAAATGTAAACCTAACATTGTTAGTACATAGAAGTAATAAATCTTTTAAGTAAGATATAGGGAACGGGATGAAAAAATTGTTTGTGGAAATATAATCACACAAAATGTCAACTGTTTTGATCAAAGGCACATTAGTGAATAACGAGTTTACATCAAAAGAGTACATATTCTTGTTCATAATATTAATATTACTATCATCAAGAACATCAACCAATTCAAATGTATCTTTTAACACATACTTACAGAATTGTGTTTTGACTGGATTCAATAATTCCACTAACCATTTAGCAAGTTTATGCGTTGGGGATTTGCACATTGACAATATAGGACGTAGAGGATTATTGGGTTTATGTATTTTTGGCAACCCATACATATGTGGGAATTTACAATCTGACGGTTTTAATGAGTCAAGTTTATCTTTACTTATAGCATTTAGGCCATGAAGCTTCAGTAGATTAGCTGTCACTGTGCCCTGCAACAACTGAATATCTTCTGAGGAGGGATCACGACTAAATTTGCTCTTATCATCAAGAATAGACATCATTTTAGATTTGTAGTCACTTTTATTCATAATGACGACTCCAGAACCTTTATCAGGTTTAGTAATAATTATATTAGAATTTTCCCGTAGCTCTTTCAAGGCTTTGAAATGTTGGGAATTTAAAATACTCTTCTCCTTTGGGTTGTTGTTTAAAAACTGGTGAGCTATATCCACCATCTTGGCCTTAAACCAACCCCGATCTTCATCGGATGTTGCGGTAAGAGGTTTGAGTTGGTCATATAAGTTTTCAAACTCAGCATGGATGGCTAAATCCGTAAATTGCGTGCGAGGAACACAAAATTTGAGTCCAAGGGATAAAGCTTCTTTCTGATGAGTAGATAGAGTAATATCAGAAAGATTTGTAACGTACTTATCAGGATTCACCGGGAAGACATCTACGCGGTTTCGATCATCGATTGAACTCTTCAATTTATTTTGTATATTCGTCTTCGTTTTCTGAGTAACGTCTTTACAAAACTGAAGAAATTTCATGTGGCATATTATTGATAATTCAGATAAAATAAGCGACGCATCGGTATGAAGAACAAGTAGTCCTTGTAAGGTTTGTTTAACATTTTCGATATGTGACTTTGTAAGACGAACAAGATTAGAGATATTTGGTTGTAATTTACTGAATTTCAAAGTTTTATAAAATTGCCTCGGGAAAGAATGATTTTTAATACATAATTCATAAAATTCCAACGTGTTACGTTCGACGATAATTTTACACCTTAGGTTAACAAGTTCATTTAACCTTTTGATAGTGTGTGGAGGGAGCCTTCTCTTTAAAAATTTAAAACAATTAGTTCCCTTTATGAATTTAGATAAAGCAATAAGAAGACGTAATTTGTCTGAATCGTGTAATGTATTTGCGCAACACATTTCGAACAATCTGATCACACACGGACTTGTCATAGGAATATATATATAAAAAATTAATAAAGAGGTAAGAGGTGAGAAAAATAGACTTAGGTCAAGTTAAAAGGACATATTCAAGGTCAAAAAATAAAAATGAAGACCACTAAACCAAATAGCAGAGGTAATAGTACATCTGCTATGGTATCAAAACAAAATTTACCAAGGAAGGTTTAATGTGATGACAAATTGTTTTTGAACACATAAAGGTGGCTTGAACTTTCTAATTGCTAGGGCTTCTACAAACTTTAGGATACGCCCCAAACACGTTTTATAGATAGGTTTAAAAGATCTGTTAACATCAATTTTATGACCTGTCTCTATAATATGTTTCGCAATAGAAGAGCTAGGTCTCCTGTTCTCACCGTTAATAGGTTCTGATGATTCCATTTGTTTCTGGAGCCATTTTGGAATATGCTCTGAAGCCCTTACTTGCAGAGATCGATGAGTCCTCCCTATGTATGTGTGTCCACACGTACATTCAAATTGGTAAATACAGTGGGATGTGACGTCATTTTTCGCATGTTCGAAGGGCTTAGATAGATATAATGGCTTTACATTCTCTAATATTATGATATTAGCTGCATAAAAAGTCTTTTTAACAGCAGCGTTCAGCCTTTGTCTAGTTATCAAGCTGCTTTGATGTCCCATATAGGGTAGCTTGATGTACACGTCTTTCTTAGGGGCGAGTTGGAGAGTGGGTCTTGGTGTTCTGACTACTTTATATCTCCTGATGAACTTTTCTGGATAATTGTTATCAACCAGAGTTTGTGTCAAAATTCTTTCTTCTTCATCAAGCGTGTCTTCAGTGCATATTCGTCGGATTCTACTGAAGAGGCACCTTACTAAGCCTCTTTTGTACCGAATAGGGCAGAAACTGTGGTAATTAAGATACTGTCCTGTCCAGGTAGGTTTTCTATAAATAGATCTTTTTATTGACCCATCAAGCCGTCGACTAAGCAATATGTCTAGGAAAGATAAACAATTATCTTCCTCTTCTACAGATGTAAGTGATATGCTATTCTGAACTTCATTCATTCGATTTAAAATTGAGGTGGCAGAACAAGGCTTATCACTGATGACTACGATATCATCTACATACCTTCTATAAAGTGGCACATTTTCGATTAAATCTTCCGATAAATTCTCAATGTACGACATATAAATATCTGCTAAAAGGGGCCCTAACGGACTGCCCATAGCAACACCATCAACTTGGCGGAAACAGTCACCTTCAAATGTAAACCTAACATTGTTAGTACATAGAAGTAATAAATCTTTTAAGTAAGATATAGG